GGCAATACTGTGGGGGAGGCCAGCCCCCCACAACTAATCACGGATTCGGGAGGCGCAATTGTATGGTTGATATATAAAAATTATAGTAAAGTCATAGAGAAATGGGAGAGATGGGAGAGAGTTAGTAAAATAAAGAAGTCGGACACATTTCATAGTAGTATGCTCACCTCGGCTCCTCTTGGTGGTCCACGTGGAGGTGGGAGATGGGAAGGCAGGAGCAAGCAAGATATTTATTACTAACCAAGGCTTATATCTCTTTGGGGGCATATATGCCCCCTAATTCCTAAAGACGTACGTCATGGGAAGGGGTTGTACAACAGGCATAAACGTAACAGGAAGGGGAGGAGCTAGGGGTGTACACATAATAGGAGGGGAGGGACTAGGGGTATACGTATGACAAGATGGGTGGACCCTAGATTCATGATGGCAGCCTAATCTTGGTCATACTTGAGTGGACTTGACCTCCCTGGGCTCTCCTTCAGGGAAGCAATCAACTACTATCCTTATCAGAAGGGAGTGGGCCCTACTTAGGGTGGGACAGACTATACAGTCTGATTGCTCTAGAGGACTGATAACCCTTAGGGAGAATAACCTCTGACCTACTTTCCTTGACCTCCAGGTGTGTAGTCATTTACCATGTGTAGCAAGCAGCTAGGCTTGGCATATATTTGGGGGAGACAACTTGGGAGAAATCTTTCTGTATCGCCCACAGCAATACCACGTGTTCATTGTCTGATTCTAACATAGATAGTAGGAAAACCACTTAATGGTTTGTGCAGTGGGGTCTTGAGTATTTCACCAGTGCCTATGGCCAGCCCTCCTTCCCTCAGGCACAGGAGAAGAGAGGAGCCTCTCCGGAGGGGCTCAGAGCAGGGACCCCTCATTGCTGTCAAGGAGTCATGCCTGGGTGCAGGGGCCGGCAGAGACGTGGTGCTTTCAGAGGACTGGGACCACTGTAACCAAGTCAGGGGGTGGAACTGTGAGGTTTCTCGAGTGGATAATGCCTCGGTTCTTGCCTTCGCACGAGAAAGAATTCACATCGAAGCCCGTTTATAATCTAAGTGGGTTTTTATGAAGGATGGAACAATGTTCAGGTTTACCCTCTCAGAAGAGTATGTGATATTTCAGGAAAGTGTACCGAGCCACACGGTAGCCGAGTTGGGGCTCACAACTGGACACCAGCAATCTCGTGGAACAGCGCACCCACATGTGCAGAACTGGGGCCAGAGAGAACGTGGCTCGGCAGGAGAGGGGAACAAAGGAACCTAGCGCTGGGAGAGGGCGGGGAGTAAGAGAGAGAGGTCCCAGAGCTGCGCTTCCTGCCTTTATTCTAGCCCACTCCCTAGCTGGGGAGGGCGGGGCTAAAGGTATCGGTTGGGTGATGTGCTGTGCCCAAGGGCCTTGTTTGGACTGCCCTCCTTATGGCCAGTGTACCTCCCAGCTGGCTGGGGGCTTGAATTGGAGCATCTTCAATTAAGGGGTCTCTTGCTTTGTGATGGTCGGACCAGGGTGCAGCTGCCTTAGCAGTTCCCTGCTTCAGCTTGCAAGGCTGACTTCCTGCAAGACATCCCCAAAGAGAAGCCATATGGACCTACCCTGATGCAGCCCTGGCTGCTGGAGCAGCTCTGTGGAGACCCCTGCCAGCACTGAGATGCTTACACACTCACTGACTCGGCTTTCCTCCTGCAGTCGGCATCACAGTGTGTGTTTTGTGAGATGGAGGAGGACGTTGTGGATTGGTGTCTGACATATGGGTTAATGTTGGACTTGTGGGCTTGGGCAGCACTGGGTTGGGATGTTTTCTTGATGTGCACTTAACCTTTATATGAAACTCTCTCTTATACATGAGCTTCTGTGGATTTGTTTCTTTAAAGTACCCAGACTAACACACTGACCTAGCTACCTAACAGAACAGCATGGGTAGGAGGAGCACAGGTAAGCACCTGGGCCAGAATTGAAAGTGCAGTGGAGAGCAGAGAGGGTGGCTTGTGAAGGAGGATGGGAGAGGGGGGCCAGGGCCCCTGTTCCTGTGGGTGAGAGGGGCCTTTCTGGGCTTGTTAGTTAACAGCTGGGATCCCAGAGTCATTTCCTGCTGCTCACAGCTGTCCATCTAGATCCCAGCTGGAGAAGAATCCTTGGTGAATCCTTCCTGACAGGCGGGGAATCTCCCGGCTCCCAGCTGCTTCCTTTCCCATTTTCCTTAATGGAAAGTCTTTCTGGGGGCTTTGAGCTCCGGCTTTTCTTGTGCTTGCTCCTGATGGGCAGAGGCGTGGGAAGGGACGGCATGGCTTCTTGGGAAGGACTGGCTGGCTGTGGCAGGAGTGGGGGCCCAGAAATGGCAGCTTTCCAACCAGGGCTCCTCTTCCAGGTCCTTCGAATCCAGGAGATTCTGATGCTGTAGGAAGCCCCTCCCTGTCAGCGGGCGGGGCAGGCTGCTCAGGGGGTAAGAAAGGCTGCAGACTATCACTGGGTGGTGGGGAGGTTCCCCACCTTGGTGAGCTCCACTAGCATGTAACACAAACCAGCACCCTTCTCCTCTGATGCGCTGGGTCAGGGCCTCTGACTTGTCCCCTCCTCTGAGGGCACCTCAGAACCAGTGAGTCTGCAGGGTCTATTTAGGGGAAGCCCAGGCTAAGGAGAGTGACCAAGCGTGTCTGAAGGTGGCTGTCCCCACAGCCAGGAGGTGGGTGCAGGGAATACAGGCTGTAGTCCTTTGACAGGGAGTTGGGCTGCCTGGTTTCCCATTCCAACTGGGCCACTCACCAGCTCTGTGACCTTAGGCAAGTCTCTCCACTTCCGTTTCCTTCTCTCTAAAGTGGGGATGTTAATAGACTCTACCTCGTGGGGTTATTAGGAGCTGAAATGAGCTAATTTGTGCAAGTGCTTAGACCAGTTCCCGGCATAATCAACCCGCCCTGCCCGTTGCTGTCTGGTTGGTTCCGACTCACTGGCGACTCGCAGTGGCACAGAAGTGCATAGCGGCGCTGTGGGTTTCTTGGCTCCGGTTCCCAGGGACCACCTTTAAGTTAACCGTGTGTGCCACTCGGGACCTGGCTGATGGTCAAGGGGCCCATAAATTGGCTATTACTGCTACGCCCCCCCCCCCTCATTGCAGGCAAGCCCTCTGTCTTTTTCCTCCCCACCCGGCTCCCTCTCATTCCATTTCTCATCCTCGGTCTTGGCCTCTGGAGAATACAAACCAACTCGGATCCTTTTATAAAAGCAGGTTTATTGGCGGGGCTGCTCACCAGGACACAGCAACATGAGAGGCTCCCCAGAGCCCACAGGAAACTGCATCTGCCCACAACTCAGCCCTCTTTAGCCCATCAGCACCACGGGACATTGTCCCACAATACCCCTCCTCCCTCAGCGGACCTGTCTCCAATCATTCAGAGGGGAGAAGGGAACCAAGAGAGGAAAGAGGGGAGAAAAAAAAAAAAGCAAAGCCTTATATTGTATAAAAGGTGTGTGTCCCCAGCCTCCCTCCCAGGGTCCCCCTTCCCTCCCTCCCACCCCTTAAAGCAGTTATCTGTAATTCTAAAGAGCAGGGCTAGGGAGATAAAGTGGAGGCCTGGAGGAAGGGGGAAGGCCCTCCTCTTTGGGCTTTGACGGGTGGGGAGGGAGGGGGCCATCCTTACTTTGGAGAAACTGCCTAGACTGGGAGGCTGAAGTGTCCTGTGGAGAACCTAGCCAGTGGGTGTCAGAAACCAGGCCCTCACACTGGACGCAGCAGCCCCTTCAGCCCCAAAGGTTCGGGAAAGGCACACACGGGCAAAGATGTATGGCTCTTGGTAGGTTCTGCAGCCTTTTGAAACAGGGAACTTGAACCTGCCAGGGGTGAGCCAGGGCTGGGCCTGCTGGGAGCAGGAGTCCCACCCCTCCCACCTGCCCCCTGGCTCTCAACTCCCAGGCCTGGCCTTTGACGCACTGCTCTTTCCTAACGCCCAGTTCTCCACACTGGGCTGATATACCTTTCTGGGACCCTCTTTTCCCAGGGCGACCTACCCATCCTTAGTTGAGAGGTAGGATGAGCGACCTTGTCTCATAATCCTCCTCCCATCTTCCCTCTTGACCCTGAGAATAGCCCTGCCCAGCAAGCTCCCTGCACCGCAGGAAGCTCGGGTTCTCTAGCGGCTTCTCATTCTACCCGGGAGAATTCTCTCCACCATTTCCACTTTCTCCTGTTTTCGAATTTTCCTTCCCCCAAACCATGGCCATGTGGTCCAGTGCGCATGCACCTACACGTTTTCGTGTTCCTCAACCGCCCCCTCGGTCCCACGGACACCAGTCTACCCTGCTAGAACCCACTACAGACATAGCCTGTGCTGGACATCCCCCGACTCTGGCTCACTTCTTCATTGTTCCAATGCCACAAAGCTGTGTCCATAGGCTTCCAGCAGGGGGCCCTTCCATGTGCACAAGACCCCCCTCAACCCCCACCTTTTTAAGGTTCACTCATTCCTCTTTGGGTAATTTTGGCTTGGAGGCCTCCGAGGCCCAGGGTGAGAAGGCAGGGGAGCTCTGTGATCAGGAATGACAGCAACGTGGGGATGGGGAGGGGGG